CCACGTGAGCACACAGCAAGAAGGGAGTTGTCTGTAAGACAATGAGATAGGTCTCAGGAGAAACCAAACTTGCTGACAACTCGATCTTGGATTTCCAGGCTCCAAAACTGTGAAAAAATAAATGTCTATTGCTTAAGCCACCAAGTCTGTGGTATTTTGCTATGGAACCTCTATAAGACTAATATAGTGCCTGATTATGTGGACAGGATTTCAGCCATGGCAAAAAGCTCTTGGAAAGAGCCTGACCTGCTTGTTTGCAGAGTAAAGCCTAAGGAAGCACCTTTTGAACACAGTGTTTTTGTACATGGAGTATCACATGTCAAGGCTTCCACGACAGGAATGTCTACCCAGAAGGCCCACTCCAGTGCAATGTGTGGACCAGTTTGAAAGATATTGTGTACATGAGAGAGACTTCCGGTTCAGAGCAAACCTTTACCAACACTGGAAACTACAAAGTGGGGAGAAGCCCTTAATAAGAAAAGAGCACAGGGACTGAGTTTTGAAGAACTGCAGAGTCCACCTGTCACAAAAGCCCTTCAGATATAGGAAGGGTAAGGAGGATTTTCTGACCAGCTCAGGTCTTCTCAAGCATCAGGTCACTCACAGTGGGGAAGGGTTGCAATACAGGAGCACCAAGTGGGAGGAGGCCTTTCACATTGGACAAAGGTACTACAGAAGTATTGAGTATCGGAAAGCCTTTAATCAAAATAAATACTTGTTAAGCACCAGAGAATATATACTGAATAAAATCCTTATGAAAACAGCAAATGTAGAAAAGTACTTAATCATAAATACAACTTTATCATACAGGTCAGAGTTCACACTGGAGAAACCCCTTATACACAAAACAACTGTGGGAATTTCCTTAGCCAGGGCTTCAACTCCACTCAACACAAAACCTGTTGAACACAATGTTTTTGTACATGGAGTATCACATGTCAAGGCTTCCACGACAGGAATGTCTACCCAGAAGGCCCACTCCAGTGCAATGTGTGGTCCAGTTTGAAAGATATTGTGTACATGAGAGAGGCTTCTGGTTCATAGCAAACCTTTACCAACACTGGAAACTACATAGTGGGGAGAACCCCTTAATAAGAAAAGAGTGCAGGGACTGAGAGAGGACTAGAGAAAGGCCTTTTAAGCGTAGCAAATGGGAGACATCAGTTATCTGCAAACCCACACCTACTAAGCACTGGAGAGTTCACATTGAAGAATTCGAAAGGGCATTTAGAATGCAGCAAATTTGGAATTTTAAGATCGAACTATCCATAATGAAGAAAAGCTTAATTAATGAAGTGAATGTGGGAAATTCTCTAACCATATCTCTAAGCCTCCTTCAACACTAGAGAATGCAACAAGGTCTTATGAGTAAAGCAGATGTTGGAAATGATTTAGTAAAAAGTCTAACCTCATCTGACACCAAAAAGTTTACTACAGAGAAAAGCCTTACATGGGAAAAGCTTCAACCAAATGTCTGCTGTGATTCAGCAGCAGAAAATTCACAATCCAGATAGGCATTATAAATAAAATGAATTTGGGGAAAGCCTTCAGTCAAAGACTTAACTTTATTTGGAACCAGAAAGTTCACACTGGAGAAAGACTTCAGAAATGCAAGGAATGAAATAAAACCTGACACACACCAGAGAGACACTCTGCAAGTAGCCTTTACGACTGAATCTCATTCATGCAAATATGCACACTAGGGAGATCCCTATGATATACTGAACACTTTCTGGAGCTAAGTTGCATGTCCTCACCTGTCTGAGGACTTTACCAGAGTTATGTAGCCACTATTACCTGTGACAAACTCAATTTCAATTCTACCAGCTGGCAGGTGTCCATGGTATGCATCAGCAGATTTCTGTGACGTCTCTCCAATTCCTGTAAGAAATTTTGAGTAGCCTAAGTCCATTAGGGGTTCCAGTTTCTGCAACGATTGTTTTACTGATAGGTAAGACCCATCTGTTTTAATTTCTTCTTAGTCTTCCCATTGGTGAGGGAGGAAATCTAACTCTAGGGTTATGGAGATGACTGGACCCTGGACAGATGAGATTGGTAGCAATTTATTAGTCACATATACTCACAGCTTGAGGGAGGACATTGCACATTGCACAGGGTCACACAGGTTTGCATTTGAGAACAAAGCGAACAATCAGGGAGATAGGCTTTGTAGTTGTAAGGTGACTCCTTGTTTGCTGTGCGAGAACGGGATTGGCTTCTTTGAATAATTCCATGGGCTCGCAGCAACAGCAACATAAACCTGCTTGTCAGAAACAAGCAGGCACTGTGCCTAGTCCCCTTAATAGAAATGGTTAATAGGCTAGGACACTTATCTGTGGGAGCAGAGTGGGAAGGAAAAATACTCATTAGGCCACCAGATTTCCTCTTGATTTCACCAGATTTCAAGGCATTGCATAATAATAGGCCTTAATGGCTCACACCTGTAATCTCAACTTTTTGGGAGGCCTATGCAGGTGGATCTTTTGAGGTCAGGAGTTCAAGACCAGCCTGGTCAACATGGTGAAACCCTGTCTCTACTAAAAAATACAAAAATTAGGCAGGGCGCGGTGGCTCCCACCTGTAATCCCAGCACTTTGGGAGGTCGAGGTGGATGGATCACCTGAGGTCAAGAGTTTGAGACCAGCCTGGCCAACATGGTGAAACCCCATCTCTAATAAAAATTAAAAAATTAGCCAGGTATAATGGTGCCTGTCTGTAATCCCAGCTACTCAGGAGGCTGAGGCAGGAGCATCGCTTGAATCAGCAGGTGGAGGTTGCAGTGAGCTGAAATCATGCCACTGCTCTCCAGCCTGGGTGACAGAGCAAGATACTGTCTCCAAAAAAAGTAATAATAATAGGCCTTAATTCCTTAATTTTAAGTCTTTTATCACCATCATCATTAGCTAACAGGATCTGAACTTGATTCTGCCTGCAGCCTGAAGGGAAGGTTTATCTTCTTCATGGACATTGTCAGTCTCAGTGATGTTTATTGATGGATTTTTCAAGTTTACATGTCATCCAACCCAAGAACAACCTGTTCCACATTGTTTTTGTTTCTGTGATCATAACTTATTTTAAAAAATAATTAATAGACTATTTTAGAGAAGTGTTAACATGAAATTGAAGAGATAGTACAGACAATATAAAAACTGGGCATATACCACTTCTCTACTCTGCAAATTACCCTATTATTAACATCTTGCGTTAGTGTAGCACGTTTGTTACAACTGATGAACCAATATTGATCATTATAATTAAGTGAAGCCTATAACTTACATTAGGGTTCATTCTTTGTGGTGTTGTACAGTTCTGAGCTTTGACACTGCATAATGTCATCCATCCATCATTACAGTATCTATCATGCAGAATACTTTCACTACCCTAAAAATGCCTGCACTGCATCTATTGACCTCTTTCCCCTCCTGCTGAACTCTGGGAAACCACTGATATTTTTAACCATCTCTAGTTTTGTCTTTTCCAGACTGCCATATAGTTGGAATTATACATATATAGCATTTGAGACTGGCTTCTTCATAAGTACTTATGATTCCTCCATGTCTTTTTGCAGCTTAATAGCTCATTTATTTTCATTGCTAAGTAATATTCCATCATATAAGTATGTACACTAGTTTGTTTATCCATCACTTTTTGAGGAACATCTTGTTTGTTTCTGGTTTTTGGCAATTATAAATAAAGCTGCTATAAACAAACAAATTGTACTAGAACAATGAATGAAAACAATACATAATCATTGCTTTATTTGCATTTATTTTACATGCAAGGGAGGGTAAACAGTTTTGCAAGTTATGTAGTCATTATGTTTTCTTTTGTCAACTGCCCATAGCTGCTTTTGGACTTTTTAAAAAAATTACATCTGCAGCTAGTTCTTATTCAGTGCTTACAATGTAAAAGGGACAATGTATACATCCTTTAAACCAGTATCTACTTTATGATTTAATTTTATTATCTAAGACATTTTACAATGAAGAAAGGATAACAAATACAGCTTACACAATTTCTCCTGTCACACAAGTACAGCTTACACAATTTCTCCTGTCACACATCAAGTACCAAAAACCAATTAAACTGATTTCAAAAATCTATGCACCTAACCACTCTTTTGTATCTTCTCTATCGACCTATTCCTCTATCAATATGTAATTATTACATTAACCTCATCTATGTCCTGACATCACCTCCTATCTAGTGAATTGGACGTTTTAATAGTTGCCTAAAACTCAGCATTATTCCCTTCACCTAAAATTTTTTCACCTCAAATCCTCTCCATTTTAGTAAATGACATCACCATCCACCAGTCCTAAAGTTAACAAAAAAGCTGCAATCTTTATGCTGTCTTTCACTTTCTAGATTACTCTCATCAGCAAGTCTTACTAATACTACCTTCGAATGATCTTCCAATGCAATCATTTCTGATTTTTCTGATTATTTCTACTTCTCATATTCAGGTCCAGGCCATCATCATTCCCTTGCCTGACCAACTACAAGTGTCCTGTTTTCATATTTTCATTTTTGAAGTATCATATAAAATGTGAAGTGTGTAGACATATAAAATATGTATGTATCAAGGATCAAGAAAAAGAAAACTGCATTTCTAAAGTTTCCCCATGTTACTTCCCAAACAATATCCTAAAAAGGGAAAACAAAATAAACAACATCCTTTCTTCCTTCCACAGAGATACCTACTATTCAAACTGTAATCACCACAGATAAGTTTTTACTGCTTTTGAACTTGAGATCTGAATCAGCTTGTACTCATTTCTATCTACATTAACAATCAACATGTTGGGATTAATCCACAGTCTCATAGAGCAATTGTGCCTTATTTTATATTATGCTTTATCCAATTGTGTGATTACAGCTCAATTTATCAATTTTAGCATATTGTAAAGTCAGATCATTTCCAGGCTTTGGCTATTAAGAAGGAGCCACTAACTTTATTACACGTTTCGTTTTGCTTTTTTTTTTTTTTTTTTCTAGCTTATTGTTTGGTAGAAAAACAAGCTCTTTAACACTTTGAATAACCATCTCACAAATTGCTCTGCCGCTCCTAGATTACAAAGAGTCACAATCAATTATCTTTGACACTTAGCCCTTGAATCTGACACTCAAGTCACAATAATAGAAACCGGAGCTTCTGTACCTGACATTCTAGAAGGTACCTCCACAAAACCACGTTAAGGACTATTTAACACTTCTATTATTTAAAAAGATCTACCTTTCCTTCCATTGCCTACGGAAAATAATAAAAGGAGAATCTCAGAGATCTGCTATTGAGTTTGAGAAGGCCAAGTTTAATGATTCCAAAATGTAGCCTTAAAAACTTCTGTAGAGACTCAGGTAAATGACCTCCCCCTCCTCTCTTCTCCCACTGGCCTCTTCAAGTACAGATGATGCATGTATTTCTGAAACCCAGCTAGGACTAGTCAAACAGTCTCACCAGTGCATTGTTATGCTTCTCTAAAGGGCTTCTGGTGAAAGAAGCAGTTTTAATTTATTTTAGTTTTTGCCAATCTTCAGTCCTTAGAAAAGTACTTTTTGTTTAAAAAAAAAAGGGGGGGGGGAGGAATAACTATTCTAAGGTGTTTAACAAGAAAAGGGAAACAGTTTCACGCTTTCTAAGCCCACAGTTTAACTGAAACAACTTTACAGAACTATCTTCACATAAAACAGCACCTTACCCCTGGCAGCCGGATGGATGGGATCTACAAACATCGAACATCTCTTAAAATGCGCTCACAGAAACGATAATATGATACTCTTTACTTCTTTAAGTCAAATCCACGTTCCTCCGGGCTGCACCCTGAAGAATTAACTGTAGGAGAAACAATAAAGGTCCTCCCGTACAGCCATGAGCAGCCCTGGTGCTCCTCGGAAACCCCCGAGGCGAGAAGAGAAGGCCACACTGGGAATGTCATCCTCCGAGGCGGGGTATGGGGAGGGTATGGTTGTGAGCAAGTGGCCATGACGGAGGCTCCAGATTCTCGTGTAGCAGTCCTGGCCCACGGCCGCCACGACTCCTTCTTCCTCGTTCACATGCAGGGGCAGGTAGGCGGAGTTATTCACATGACCTTCGTACTGTGTTACACATTTAGTGGCCCTCAAGTCCCACAGCTTGATAGTTCCAGTCATGTCTGATGCCACCAGGCATTGCCCTTCTTGGAGGATTTGCAGAGAGGTCACTGCTGAATCATGGGATAGGCAAATGGCCTTCCACCCCCTGCCTTGATTTCCACAGCGCAGATCAATGCCAAAGACCTCCCCAGAGCGACAGCCATTAAACAGCAAAGGAGTCATGATTGCAAACTGCTGGGCCAAAACATCACTGCTAGTACCAAATGACTGCTGGTGTCCCGTCACCACGTTGGTCAACAGGACCTGCTGAGACAAGCCTGTACTGAAGCAGTGATATGCGTGGATGTTCAGGGACCAGGCACAGGACCAGGCATCAGGGATCTGGAAACTGCAGAGCATGCCTGGACGACGCATTCCTGGGTAGCTACCTATGAACAGCGACGCTGGGAGCAGCACGGCACAACTGGGAGTATCTGCGAGTCCCACGAAGCACAGCAGAAGGTGGGAATCCAAGTGATTCAGTGAGGCCCAGCACATAGAATTCACCTTCCGATTAGGGACGTAGAGGCTTTTGTGCGGGTATACCCGGAGTTCAGGGGTAGTCAGGCCTCGCATAGTGATGATGCCGTACTTGGAGCCTCCAGCTTCGACTTGGTTCACTGTGAAGAGCTGGTCAGTGTTGGTATTCGCCAGTATGCGGTTAAATCGGTCACTTGCCAAAGACGAGGGATCCCAACTATGAATCTGGACCTTTTTCCTCTGCATGCAGCTTACACGCAGCTCGCGAGCTAAACGGCAATAGTTGGCGAATCTGAGGAAACCTAGCTGGTTCTTTCGTAGCATGGAAGGTGCACTGAGTCCCACCCTGACTATCTTTTTCTGCTTGTCCGCTTCTTCGAGCAGTCGCGGTCTTTTGTTCTCCATTTCGTTCGATGGACGTTCTCCTGCCTGAGGGGAAGTTCTGTCTCGGGAGTAAGAGGAAGTACCGCTTCTTTACAAGCACGACCTAGCACGGAAGAACTTTCCGCTGCGTGTGCGCCTGCGCGTATGAGATCGACCCGGACGAGATCCTTCGTCGCCTTGGCCAAAATCCCGAATGCTCTGAAGTGCCCGGACGTAACTCTTGTTAGAATCGCGTGATCTGAAACAAGGGTTCCGTTGCTTCTCTCAAGTTTTTTCCTACTCTGACAGCTGCTTTTATTCTTTTCTATTCCTGTTTTAGAGAGTTTTTCTGGCCCCTCTTACACATGTCATAATAGCTGTATGCATACATTTCTCTTATTTACTAATAAGTGAAATTCGGCCAGGCGCGGTGTAATTCCAGCACTTTGGGAGGCCAAGGCAGGCCTATTACGAGGTCAGGAGTTCGAGACCAGCCTGGCCAATATGGTGAAACCCCGTCTCTACTAAAAATACAAAAATCAGCTGGGCATGGTGGTGGATGCCTGTAGTCCCAGCTATTCCGGAGGCTAAGGCAGAAGAATTGCTTGAACGCGGGAGTCGAAGGTTGCAGTGAGCCAAGATAGCGCCACTATACTACAGCCTGAGCAACAAAGAGAGACTTCCTATCAAAAAGAAAAAGAAAAAGTGAAATTGAAGCGTTATTAGGTAAGCATATATTTAGCTTAAGTAGATATTGACAAACCGATTACAGTCTTGTCAAAAATGTATATACATCCTTGCCAATTCTTGTTTTTGTTGGTCAGTTTACATTTTACAAATAGGGGTAGGAGTACATTAGATCATGCGATTTTGATGTGCTCTTCCCACTGGAGTATGGTTTGAAAAGTTTTTCATATGCTTATTGGTTATTTGGGCATCCTCTTCTTTCAGCTTCCTGTTCAAGTATTGCATTCTGTAATTTTCATATATTTGGAATTTTTCAAGTTACCTTTCTGTCGTTCATAATTAGCTTAAATCAACTATGGTCAGAGAACCTACATAAGTTAAAACCTTTGGAATTTCTTAAGGCTTTATTTATATTTCCATGTTCACTTGAAAAGAATGCATAGTCTTCAGTTATTTGGTGTAGAAAAACAAAGTCATAGATATGAATAGAGATATAAATAGAGGCAGATATATAAACAGGGAAAGGGATATACTTGGTTAATGCATTTTTCAAATTTTTTATACTTATGCATATTTTGTTTCTCTTTTCTATCAGTTTCTCCATAAGACACTTCAAAGTCTAGTTAAGATTGAGGGGTTATGTATTTCTTCTATTTAATTTGTCAAAGTTTTTGCTTTGTATATTTTAAGTTGATATTAGGTACACACAAATTTACGATTGTTTTTGTCTTCCTTTTGAATGATTGCCATTATTATTATAATTTTTTTTTAAACTTTTATTTATGTAGTTCGTTCGTTCGTTCGTTATTTAAGATGGAGTCTCGCTCTGTCGCCCAGGCTGGAGTGCAGTGGCGTGATCTTGACTCAATGCAAGCTCCACCTCCCAGGTTCACGCCATTCTCTTGCCTCAGCCTCCCGAGTAGATGAGACTACACGCATCTGCCACCAGCCTGGTTAATTTTTTGTATTTTCAGTAGGGACAGAGTTTCATCGTGTTAGCCAGGATGGTCTCGATATCCTAACCTTGTGATCCACCCTCCTTGGCCTGCCAAAGTGTTGGAATTACAGGCGTGAGCCACCGCACCCGGCCAACTTTTATTTAGTTCAGTTCAGTTTAGTTCAGTTTAGTTTAGCTTGGTTTGGTTTTTTGAGACGGAGTCTCGCTCTGTTGCTCAGGCTGGAGTGCAGTGGCGTGATCTCAGCTCACTGCAAGCTCCGCCTCCCAGGTTCAGGCCATTCTCCTGTCTCAGCCTCCCGAGTAGCTGGGACTACAGGCGCCCGCCACCTCGCCCGGCTAGTTTTTTTGCATTTTTAGTAGAGATGGGGTTTCACCCTGTTAGCCAGAATGGTCTCAATCTCCTGATCTCATGATCCACCCGCTTCGGCCTCCCAAAATGCTGGGATTACAGGCTTGAGCCACCATGCTGGCCCAACTTTTATTTTGTTAGATATGTGTTCTCTGATATTAAAGTATCCTTATCCTTAAACCCTTCTTATCTAGTATTTATATATGCAACCAAGATTTCTGGTTGATAGTGTTTGCTGTACCTTTTCTCACCTTTTACTTTCAACTTAAATTTGTTCTTTTATGTAAATGGGTTCATAAAAACAATATATTGCTGGTAAGTTTTTATCCAATATAATAACTTTTGCCTTCGAATGCATCTAGGCAATTTAATTTTTTAAATACCCCCTTTAAAAATTCTCCAACAGTCTTAGATTTACAGAGAAATTACACAGATAATATAGAGCCTTTCCACATACTCTGCACCCAGTTTCCGTATTATTAACATTTTACACTAGAATGATAAATTCATTACACTAATAAACCAATATTGATACTTTATTATTAACTGAAGTCTATATTTTATTCCTGTTTCCTTAGTTTTTATCCAATGACCTGTTGCTGTTCGAGTATCCCATCCATGATATAATATCAATCATGTTTCCTTATGCTTCTCTTGGCCATGACCTTTTCTTAGACTTTCCTTACTTTTTATATACATGACAGCTTTGAGGCATATTGGTCACATATCTTATAGATATCTCTCAATAGAGAGTTGTCTGATGTTTTTCCCATACTAATACTGGGGTTTTATGTTTTTGGAGGAAGACAACAGAGGAAAATGCCATTAAGGGTACAGACGTCTTGTGGACATGACTTATCATCATTGATGTTAACTTTGGTCACCTGAATATGGTAGTGTTTCTTGGGTTTCTCCACTGTATGCTATAAACATCTGTCCCTTTCTTTTCACGCTGTCCCCCTTGAAAGGAAGGAGATTTGCCCATCTATCACTTCAGGAGTAGGGATTTATGCTTTAGTTTCTTGAGGGCAGAACATACACATCAATTATTAGGAATTATTCTATAAGGGAGATTTTTATAGGTGTGTCTATATTAATGTATTCATTTATTTATATAGTATGGCCTCTTGAATACTTATTTTATACGTCATTTATTTATTTGCTAAAATTATTGCAGCTTTGGCCATTGAGAGCTCTTGTGGCTCCTGTGATTGACTGCCTATAGTTAACTGCATAGTTAACTGTACTCTAAAAGCTTGAGACCACTTGACACCAGAGCCCTTATCTTAGACTTAAATATGTGATTAAAATTGTAATCTTTTTCTTACAGCTTTGATTTTGATGTTCTGTGTATTGCATCATTCCAAAAACTAGACTTTGGATGTGGAAATATTTGAAGAAGAAATGGATATTTTTTAATGATAACAATTTATATTATTATCTGAGAACTACCATATACTCAGGAGTTGTAGAATCCCCAGGTAGGGTTATCAAGAACTAGAAGTAAAAGCTTTAACCATTAAATATATTTTTTTATTGTAAATTTTTTATTTTTTTTTATTTCAATAGTTTTGGGGGAACAGGTGGTGTTTGGTTACATAAATAAGTTCTTTAGTGGTGATTTCTGGAATTTTGGTGCACCCATCATCTGAGCAGTGTACGCTGTCCCCAGTGTGTAGTCTTTTGTCCCTCATCACCTTTGATTTTGATTTACTGTATATTTTGTCATTCTAAAAATAGACTTTGGATGTGGAAATATTTGAAGAAGAAATGGAAATTTTTAAAAACCAAACAGACATACCCACATACCTTTTGGAATGGCCAAAAAAAAAAAAGAAAAAAAAAGTGGTGATAATATAGAGTAACTTAAGTTCTCATTTATTGCTGGTAAGGACGTAAAATGGTACAGCCACCTTGGAAAGCAGTTTGGAAGTTTCTTAGAAAACTAAACATATTCTCACCATATGATCCAGCAATCATGCTCCTTCATATTTACCCAAAGGAAGTGAAAATTTATATTCACACAAAACCATCCACACGGATGTTTACAGCAACTTTATTCATAATTGCCAAAACTTAGAAGCAAACAAGATGTCCTTCAGAAGATGCAAGGATAAATAACAGTAGTACATCCAGGCAATGGAATATTATTCAGCACTAAAAATAAATGAGTTATGAAACCATGAAAAGACATGGAGAAAAGTTAAACAAATATTACCAAGTGAAAGAAGCCAGTCTGAAAAGGCTAAATACTGTAAGATTCCAAGTATACAACATTCTGTAAATGGAGAAACTATGGAGGTAGTAAAAAGGTCAGTGATTGCTAGCAATTAGAGGGCATGTAAGAGAAGAGTATTTTTCTTATCTTGCTATAAAGCACAAATACAAACTGTTTATAGGGTATGAGGAGACTAACAATATTTTCTAAAGAATTATGGACAGCAAAGTCATTAATATTTGAACATATCATTGAGGAACATCAGAATCCCTTTATAACGTTTTTCTACTTAATACTGAAACCAGAAAAGCATAGATCTTTTAAAATCTAGATATTTACCTAATTATGATGTTTATTTTTAATAAGATGTTCTGTCAAAGGTGGTTTTAATTGTATTATCAGTGAGGCTGCAGGGAAAAAAAAAAAAAAACCTGGAACCTCACTTACTTTCTGCCAAAACACTGTCTTCAATTTTATAAGCTAATAATTTAGGAGGAGGGATGATAATCCTTATATGAAACAACACAGGCCATTCACTTATCCTTAGCAAGACAAGGCAGGCTTCATAATCTTAAAAACTCATTTGAATGTACTCAGTGAGCGTCAAATTGCTTTAAGCAGGTTGTCCTGTTATAACATAGATATATTAGCTTTCAGGTGTGTCCTTTTTCCTAAGATATAGTGTGAACTGTCTTTGAAGAAATGTCCTTTTCTAATAAAACTTAAGTCCAAACTTACATTTCATTGTTCTCTTTCTCACATAATGTACTTTCTTTTAATATAATTCTAGCAGATGGATAGCATTTTATGTTATATTAATATCAATGCGTATGTTCATATAAACACATAAATAAAAATTTATAAGCATACACCTAAAGTCCAAAAGAAGAAAGGTAATTCATAAAATAAGTATAAAATCCTGTGTGAGTGACTGCCTTCATTTAGCCAAAAAACATAACATGAAGAGTTGAACATATGAACATATCAAAAGGTTAGATTGAGATTATATTTTTTGCAGCATTAAATATTAAATATATGCACCAGAATTTATACATTTTGGCTAAATAACCCTTGAATATTTTACTCAATCTGGAATTCTTGTTCTCATCTTTAGTATACTGAAATTGCTCTTATTGTCTATA